GGCACTTCTGAGCACAGGTGGGTGCATTGCTGGGCACAGGTGGGCAGAACTTGTGTGTAGCACTGCTGGGCACCGATCATCAGGGCACTGATGATCAGTGCCGATCCCCGCTCTGACAACTGCTGGTTTTTGGCAGCACTTTCCTCACGATCTGACAGCGTGAGGAAAGTGCAGCAGAGAACCGGCATTTGCATTTCCCGGTGATCAGCGTATCATTGGACACCGCTGATCACGTGGTAAAAGGCCGCTGTGATTGGCCTTTTACCACGTGAGATCAGCGTATCATTGGACACCGCTGATCACGTGGTAAAAGGCCGCTGTGATTGGCCTTTTACCACGTCACGTGATCAGCTGTGTCCATAGAACACAGCGATAACGGAGATCGCCGGGGGCGCGCAGGAGAGCGCGTTTTGGGAGGACGTCATATGACGTCCACCCAGAACTGGCCGGCCGCAGTGCAGCCGTCATTTGGCTATCTGCGGTCGGCAGGTAGTTAATAAGAATGGACATTTTTTTTATAGGGTAGTGAAGTGTGCAATTAGGACAGAGTACAACTGCCATACGTCAAACTGGAACAGGGTGGTTATCCACACGATCTGTCCCCAACATATAATGCCACAGCTCTAGCCTTGTGATTGAGTTGCATGGTTTAAGGTGTGAATTGAAGTCAAACAATTAGAACCTGCCCCAGCCTTCATGGGATCAGATTTTAAAAGTGGAAATGGGTGGTTTAAAGAACAAAAAAAAAATTACCTTGCTTCCTATCCTGTGTTTTAGATAATCAAGCTCAGCCATTACACATCATTCTGATTGAGTTACCTGTGTATAAATGCCGGGTATATTCATGTCACTTGTTAGAACTGAAGAAGCCACTTGGCTAAGTGGTAAAATGTCTTCAATATTACAGAACAAGTCCATCTGATGTGACTAAGAGGGATGACAATATAGGAGACACACCAGAACTGTACTTAAATAAAATCATTTAATGAAGTTCATCTCAGTTTGACACAATCACTCCCCATAAAACACCCCGCAAGAAGAGAAAAATAAATTCCTCATCAGATATTTGGCAAATTTCCCTGCCAATGATCAACATTTTAAAATGTAATAGACAGCTGGAAGGGGTCTTTATTAAACATACTATTCATTTCCTAGTCCTTTTAGAGAAAGGAAGTCTTTTCTGGTTGAGAGTTAAAGGAAAACAATCCCAGGAGAAATATGGAGTCAATGATGTTTCCTTCTGAGGTCTGGCAGATTGGACTTTTCTAATCTGCACACTTATTCTGGACCAGTGACTTACAGCCCATTAATGCACAAAACCGCTGTCCAGGGACATGAGAAGGTAGTTCAATGCACTTTTGCAATTTTTTTTTTTTTTTTAAAACCTTTGAGGGTTTAAAATTACACACCATTCAAGTCTTCCCACCAGCCAATGTCTGCATTTTTCTGTACTGCCCACACCTTTGTGGCAAAACTAGTGCTGTTCAAGTGCAGGAAAATACAGGTCACTGCACAGGTAAAAGGGTATATTATACTGTGTGTGATAACATTTGTTTCAGTGTATTTTTTCCTGAAAAATTAGCATTGGATAAATGACTACACAAATGTCATGTGACAAAAACAAGCAAGTTCAGGTCCTAAAGGAAACATTATAACAGCATTTTCAGAAGGTCAAAGAAGCCCCAAACTACCCTCGGCAGTCCCAAATAAATGATATTGATTTGGGACTAACTTAATCCTCAATGTCAACAGTCTTGCAGGGATAGGTGAGAGGAAGTATAAACTGAAACAATTCTCTCACCTAGGAAAAAAACCCACCGCTTGTGGAAGACTTAGCCTTTGATCACATGATCTCTGTTGAATGGAAGATGAGTTCAGAAATAGCTGGTCTCAGCCTTTTAGCAGAGTGCAAGTGACCAAATACCTAGGCTTTTGTGTATGCAGGAGGACCGGAGGGGAGCCTAGGGTAGTTTACAATCTCCCAACTAGCAAAAACTACATTACCTAGATTACAACTATCACTTTCTAAATAAAGATTTTTGGTTGGGATCCAGCACACCTGATGGGTTGAAATTGGGACCAGCCCAGTCTTCAGTTTGATCTCTCTTGCAGCACCAATGTCTGCAGCAAATAAACCGTGAACAACGCTTTAAATTGTACCAATATATTACTGCTTAAAGGTAACCTGAAGTAAGGGAAATATGTGGGCAGCTATTGTTCTCATCTCGACAGGGGCAGCCATTGTATTCTTAGCATCATTCTCCTGTAAAATGGCAAAAACAATACTGAGTGCAGTAACTAAATTGTAGCCAATCAGTACTTTGTTACCAGAAATTAACTGGTAACTAAAAATGCACCACTTTAACTAGATCTGTTCAAATGTACCCGTTCTACAAAAAGTGGTAACAGGCAGCAACTAAAGTGGAACTTTAGACCAGCCTGTCTTGGCAAAATGCCTAAAAGTTGTGCACAAGCCAGTGGTGTGGATCAAACCTGTTTTGTTTTTCCACAGTCACAGATTTTCAGTGTGCAACATTACAACCTTGGGCACTGTGCAAGCCAGCATCCTGACAACTGCTGCTGTCATTGGTTGATAAGGGAGGATACTGGGCACCTGCACAACATCCTTGTTACAGCTTAATTAAATCGGGTAAATACCTAAAGGGTTAGTTCACCTTTACAAAAAAAAAAAAAAAAAAACTGCCTATGAGGGGTGGCTGTAGATAAAAAAAAAAAACAAACGGTGCAGCTCTGACTAAAATTGATTAATACCCTTGCTATAGGTGTAGGCCATTTATGTATCTCCTGAAGTCTGACTGGAATACTCCCAGGACATTGCTAAGTGAGGCCTAGTCATTACTGCTCCACCAAAACAGGAATGAGCTTTGAAATGCTGAGCTCAGAGCTACTGCATCAGGAAAGAGAGCATGGGAGAAGGTCTGAATCAGAAAAAATGTTTGCTGCTGTGCAGGTGAATGTGAGCAGTAATGACTAGGCCTCACTTTGCAATGTCCTGGGAGTATTCCACTCAGGCTTTATGAGGTAAGTAAATGACCTACACCTATAACAAGGATATTAGTCAACTTTATATAGAGACACACAGTTTGTTTTTATCCACAGATGCCCCTTACCTGCATAGGGAGTTCTTTGAAGGTGAATGATGCTGTTCAGTGTATATATAGGTTGGGAACCACCCCCTTAAACGTAAAGTCTGAAAATGCTGCTCCTCTGTCCTCCAATTCAACAGATCTTGTGTGGCTATAAGTATAGGTTCCTGCTGATGTAGGTTGTGTTTGATCTGTTTTTGCAGGGGGATTTTATTTTAATTTTTCTTGTTGGTAGGTAGATTTTAAATGCAAAACGCAATAAATGCTTTCTGTAGTGTTCCCATTGAAGGCTATAGCATCAAAAACGCAATGCTTTGTGTTCAAAAAAAGTCCCTCGTGCTCAGAAAATCATGTTAAATGGACTGTACTGTGTTACTGCAGAAAAGGCTTAGGTCTGAACTGTGGGTAAGTCTGTGTTTCTGGCCCTGTAACCAGCACCAAATTAGTACAGCCCTTCTTTTTCCTCCCTACAAAAGGTGTTCTGTTTATATTGTTGATGGAATGGATATATGTTCATAGTCTACAGGTCTACTATAATTCTAAAGTGTAATATAAATTATTGTATTTTCCTCACTCCCATAATAACTTTTATTCTCCTATGTCCATTATTTGCTTGATTTTATAAATAGCAGTTGATAGGTTGAATTCAAGTAACAACTTTGAGCTGGCAGGAGCAACTCTGCCTTTTAAAGTACAGCTTGCTTTATAGGTTACATGAGATATATGAATGATGGTCCTAACATACTTTTAAATGCTAGTTACCCATTCTGGCCTCTGTCACAAAACAAATGTACCAAGAAAAGATAGTTGTTGCTCCATACCTCTCCTGAACAAGATGGCAGAAGTGCCCCAAACAGCAGGTACTAGTAAAATCAATTTTTCAGGACTGTCCATACACTAATATCCCAAAAACCTGAATAGGATGTTGCTGCTGCAGGACAAGTTGTCCCATCCAAGTCTATGGGATATTAGTATATTGAACTGTGCACATATCTCTGTGTAATGTCAAGGTACCCTACTACAATCCAGAACTCATAGCTTGGTGGTCTAACCCACTCGAGCACATTCTAATGTGTATTTGCCAGATCCTAGGTTACTGGACACAAAAGAACATATCGTTGTGTAATGTTTTCCATAAAAAAGGGACAAAATTCCTATTCCCCGCAACAGCTCTAGTTTAAAAAGAAAAAAATGTCCACAAAAGCCATCAAAAACATAGGACTAGCTGTGCCCAGCTGCAGCAGAAGACACCAATAAATATCTGCGAGAAGAGACAATAGGAAGTCAGACCTATTCAGTTATTATTGTAACATTGCGTAGAAGGATCTCTCACAATTGCTTCCACGAGATCAGCTGTGCACTTGCAAGTTGAGACAGGACAAAATTTAAAAAAAAAAAATTCCTGACTATTGTACTGGTCAGGAATATTGCTAATAATTTATTAGGTCACTGTAGTGAATCAATTTCCAACAGAATGCAAACCTGCATCCAGTCCTCTGCTGGTGACCTCTGATCTGGGCTGCAGGATGATTCCAGTCTTGTACTTCAGCCAAGAAGTGGTGTGGACCAGCCAGAGTCCTAAGTAAATACCCTCACCTTTCACTTGGGATAGCTCAAAAGGAAGATTAAAATTAAAACTGCTCAGGGGCCAAGGTCCAGCTCACAGCTGCCAAGATAGCTTGTATATCACCCTAATAAAATTTCTGTGCGAAACAATGCTGGCTCCAACTTCTGGCCATTAGAAAAATGTCTTTGCAGAATTCTCATAAGGACAATGTGGAGTATGTCCCAATGCACACATTCTCTGTCAGTAAGGTTACCCAACCACATTTGTAAACAGGAGCAAGTTGGCTAGTCTCTGGTCATTTGCTGGAGATGGAAGACAATTTCCCTTTATGTTGTTTTCCCGAGTTCAATCTTCTTTTGAATGGCACGTGTGGAGTGGTAGATGAGCGAGTCAATGAGGCCTGCAACTGTAGAGGGGAAAAAAAAAAAAAAAAAAAATCATATTTTAAAAGGATTGGTTACAAAAACAGTAAAAGCAAAGATGATTACAACCTTACTGTTCCTACCACACTTGTACAGTATACACATCCATAATCAATACGGTTTACATTGCAATTATTCCACAGCCCAACCTGAGGAATGAGAACCAATTGGTGCCTACCATGCACCCTAGGAATACCTTGCAAATTGACATTGAATTTACTGTACTGCCCCTAAACCATGAAAAGGGACAGTTCTTCCACAATATGACATTGTTACTGAAAGAATAATATTTTTAGAACCAAGTCCACAACACATACAGTAGAAGATGGAAAAGCACAAATACACTGCACTTACCTGTAAACACTCCTCCAATTATGGCACACACTCCAGTCAGAAAATGAGTCAGTGACCTGGAAAACATGGAACAAGTTGATCTGAATTTAAGTTTGCACATATTATAACCCCACGGTAGCAGGGGCACATGGGGACATACATATAGCTCACCTGTGCTTTTCTGTGAGTTTTACCATCATCGGAGACAGCTCATACAACACAAATACACCAGGCAATCCCTGATCACCAATCAGGCCACTGGCAATTTTTTCATGTCTGGTCACTGAAAACTGATTAGTGCGCAATACCTAAATACGAGAGATACAAAGAAATACATTGACGATGTGCAGTAAAAGTACACAAACCCACCCTTCCTGAGCTAATCTTCCCTGCCCCCCCTTTCTTTTAGCCAAGGAATGTTTGCAAGTCAGATTACACTATAAAAAGGGAACTTTCCTTACTTCATGTAAATATCAATACTGAGACACTGGAAACCCAGTATTGTGATACTTCTAAATGGGTTGAACGTCTTCATTTGATTACACATATACAGAAGATGATGAGTACCACCTGTGACAGAGAAGTCAGTCGTCTTACTTTTATGAAAGTACTGCAGCCTTGTGCATTTACAGTGTTCGTGAACTCCTCTTCTCTCCATCTCATGGTTTTTAAATCAGGGAATACACCATTCATAATAGCAAGTCTTCATATCATCCCTATGCAGTTTGGTTTCCTTTGTTTTAAATGAACCAGTGTTTGGCTAAGTTGTTTACAAGGAAAGAAGTGTTCTAGTGCAGGTTCCCCGTGACACCATTACATAGCAGTTAATCTTCGATCTCATACCTGTGTCACATTTGGATCCTAGGCCCAGTTTGTACACGAGGCCACAGGCCAAGTACAAATTAACACTACCTCTCCAAGTGCCAAGCTTGCAACATATGGTTCAACTACCCGATACCAGAGCCTCTACAGACCACAAATGTTTAGGCATCAGACAGCTGAAAATTGTCAGAAGGAAGCCTAAACACGACATTAATTGTACAGCCTGGTACATGGGTCAGGAGTAACCTTGGAACATACAGCTACCACAAAGTGCTGCATGTAAGTATTACTGTTACCTTGGGTATATTTTAGGGAAGGTCATGTTGACTTTAACATCTAGAGCAGCGGTTGAACAACGCTTTCACAGGGGTCGCCTAAGACCATCGGAAAACACATATTTCCAATGGTCTTAGGAACCAAGACACCGCTCCTCTATCAGTCCTCAGGCAGGTCCACCAACATGCAGATACTCTATGAGGTAGTCGTGAGGGCGGCCAGAGGGGCTTGGCAGGGTGTCCCGCACTCCCGGCTTGCTGCGAGCCTCTCACGCTGAACTAACACCAGCACACTGACTGGCCCGCTCCCTCTTCCCTGTGCGTTATGAGAGGCCGGTCAGGCTGGAGGCTCCTCCCCTGCAAGAGGGTGGGTTGGAGGTGCCCAGCTGCCACCCACTGGCTGCCCTTGCACCTGCTGCATTTTCCCCAGGCGGGCAGCTGCTCACAACAGTTGGATAGATGTGAGCCGGGCCCCCCTTTGTCTCCGGGGAGGGGGGATCTAATTACCCGCAGAGCGTGTGCCCTACAACCGCTCACCTCCCACGGAGGCTTCTCCTCACAGCACTTGTACGAGGGCTGGCACCGGGGCACCCGGCCCGCTAGAGGGAAGTACACAGCGACCAGCAATCCCAAACTTTCCGGGGTCATACAAGGAGGCTCAGGACAGACAACTTGGTGTGGGATAGGGCTGATATCCTTGGGGGGAGGGGGGGAATACTGGCCATACACACTTCAATTTTACAATCAGATCCAATTGGCAATCAGATTAACTTACATTCCCATAAAATTCCTTCAGTCGACTGACCAGGGCGCAAAATGATCGACCGTTTTCCAATAATTTTATGGTTGGGGGTCACCACAACATGAGGAACTTTATTAAAGGGTCACGGCATTAGGAAGGTTGAGAACCACTGATCTAGAGGCTAATAAAGTCAGTATAGAGCACTTACTCAGATTTCAGGGTATTATAGTGCATCAGCCAAAGGAGTGTTGATTGCCATGAATGACAGCACTCAGTACCATTTGAACCACATCCAATCTGCATGACATGTGAAAAAACATTGCTTCCTATGGTGCCCGCTCACATATGTCCGGTGCACTGACGGTGCGGATTTAGTGCAGTTTAAAAAAAAAAAAGTCATGTCCGACTTCTGAGCAGTGCGGTCTGGTTCAGGTGCGGATTACAGGCTATTGATTTCTATGGGAATTGTTCCTAAACTGCATAAGTGTGAAAAGGATAAGATCCTGACCTGAACCGGAGAACAACTCCTATATCAATCAGCTGAGACACGTGTGACTCCGCTCTTAGACACGTTACTTGGTTCTGTTCAGCTTATCATGGCATGATAATAACAACACTACAAAAATACATTTTTCGTAAACAAAAGATAAGTGATTTTACTTGCCTCTTCATCGATTTGTACATATACCGTAGGAACAATTTTCACAAAGTACTGAAACATCATGGAAGCTTAAAAAAAAAAAAAAAAAAAAAATATTAGAAATAAAAAAAAAAAAAAAAATAGAAAAGTTTAAATAAGTGCAAGCAACTGTTTGCCCATTCTTTGAATGAGTAATTGATTGCAGTGATTTATGAAATGAAAAAAAAAAAAAACTTAGTGTATGTACAGCTAAAATATTTCTTTTATTCTTGGATAGAGTAGGAAAGGGTTCAAACCTATGTGAGGTTTCTATTGCTGTCTGTGTTCCTGATGGGGAGATTCACTCCCTCTATTGTCACTGGGACAGAAAATGGAAAATTCCACATTAAAGTAGAATTTTAGTCAGAAAATGAAGTCCTGCTAGATCAGCTTTCCCCCCTTTTGCAGGTATAGCTATGTAAAACATTACAAATAAGTGCCTATACTGTTTAAAATCCAGTAATACACTGGATCACCCTGCTCTGCACATGCTCAGTTGCTCTATATTTTTTAGGCACTGTGCCAAATTTCTAGAGGCCAATCAGCTGACAGCCTTAATATTTTTTCTTAATAGGAACAATACTGGAGGAAATGTAGAGCGCACACTAATTTTAGTAGCATAGTTAATGTGGAATGTTCCATGCTAAAGAACATTATTTTGATCAAGTTGGTATGGGTAAAGTCCCACCTCAAATCTCATCAAAACAGGAATAGCAGGGAAATATTCCATTATCCACTTGATCTCTGACAGGTTTTACCCTTTTATGATCATTTTTTGACATAAAAATTTTCTGGTCTATTTCTTATAGTTTCTGCTGCTTTTGCTCACAGGATCTAGCTGCTTTTTTTTTTTTTTTTACAGAAAAAAAAAAACAAAAAGCAAGACCCTACCAGGTCCTATATCAATATATCGTTATGAAAGGGAGCACTCCGCAGGAACATAGTTAACAAAAATGAAATAAAATGGAGTTGTGCTCATACCTATACCCACATACAGTATAAAAAAATGTTTATTTTATTTCAAGTACTTATATAGCGCTGTCAATTTATGTAGTGCTTGACATATATATTGTACATTCACATCAGTCCCTAACCCTTAAGGCGCGTACAATCTAAGGTCCCTAAGTTCACAGTCATACATACACATACTAGGGCCAATTTAGACAGGAGCCAATTAACCTACCAGCATGTCTTTGGAGTGTGGGAGGAAACTGGAGTACCTGGAGGAAACCCACACAGGCACAAGGAGAACATGCAAACTCCAGGCAGGTGGTGCTATGAATACTTATCAGTCCTTGAATGATCCAGGGTTATTCCAGACATGGCAGATGAAAAGCCTGACCAGTTTCATCAGATCCACCCGGCTGCATCAGAGGCATGTGGTGCCACATAAACCTGGACCAACCCTGGATTATTCAAGGACTGATAAGTATACAAGTCTCATGATCTGATGGGACACTATTTGAGATTGTTTGAACATAAGAAAGCCATGAATGCTGTGTTGGGGAGATTCATTACCTCATGTTTCCACCCCATTGCTTGGCTGGTATATGTGCAACGTGTTGACCAACAGGTTCTGTTGATATGTGGATGGCTTTTACACTAACGGCTAGTTGTGCGAGGGAGGTTAGTGAACACATGAAGTGACTATCTGCCAACTTATATTACCATGACAGTTTGGTTTCCTCCTCTGGACCACATCCAGTTGTCTCCTCGATTAGAAATATACAGGAATTCGGCTGGCCTTTTAGGGAGTCAATTACTGTCAAATATCTGGGATTCCCAATGCATTTACTTCTATCTGGACTTTAATGTATGAGGAGAATTGGGGTTTATCTTGCTCATTATCAGTCCACAATATACCATCAGATTTGTGACACCAGTGTCTTTTTTTCTGTGCCAATATACAATACTGAGGTGGACTTTGTGAAAAATATGTATTTGGGGTGCTGTTATTTTGCTTTGTGGCCACACTGCTGTCCCTATTCTCTTGAGAGCTCTCAGTTCATGATTGAGTGACTTGGGTATAAATAATCTAGTATATGGAAATCACATGTATAGATACATAACAGAGACTCTTTACTAGTCCCTAGACATGACATTTGGCATACTTTTTATGGGGTGTATTTACAGTGGGGCAAAAAAGTATTTAGCCAGCCACCAATTGTGCAAGTTCTCCCACTTAAAAAGATGAGAGAGGCCTGTAGTTGGCATCATAGGTAGAACCTCAACTATGAGAGACAAAATGAGAAAAAAATAACCAGACAATCACATTGGCTGATTTGGAAAGAATTTATTTGCAAATTATGGTGGAAAATAAGTATTTGGTCAATATCAAAAGTTCATCTCAATACTTTGTTATATATCCTTTGTTGGCAATGACAGAGGTCAGACGTTTCCTGGAAGTCTTCACAAGGTTGGCACACACTGTTGCTGGTATGTTGGCCCATTCCTCCATGCAGATCTCCTCTAGAGCAGTGATGTTTTGGGGCTGTCGCTGGACAACACGGACTTTCAACTCCCTCCGAAGGTTTTCTATGGGGTTGAGATCTGGAGACTGGCTAGGCCACTCCAGGACCTTGAAATGCTTCTTACGAAGCCACTCCTTTGTTGCCCGGGCGGTATGTTTGGGATCATTGTCATGTTGGAAGACCCAGCCACGTTTCATCTTCAATGCCCTTGCTGATTGAAGGAGGTTTGCACTCAAAATCTCACGAAACATGGCCCCATTCATTCTGTCCTGTACATGGATCAGTCGTCCTGGTCACTTTGTGGAGAAACAGCCCCAAAGCATGATGTTGCCACCCCCATGCTTCACAGTAGGTATGGTGTTCTTTGGATGCAACTCAGCATTCTCTCTCCTCCAAACACGACGAGTTGCGTTTCTACCAAACAGTTCTATTTTGGTTTCATCTGACCATATGACATTCTCCCAATCCTCTTCTGGATCATCCAAATGCTCTCTAGCAAACTTCAGACGGGCCCGGACATGTACTGGCTTAAGCAGGGGGGACATGTCTGGCACTGCAGGATCTGAGTCCCTGGCGGCATAGTGTGTTACTGATGGTAGCCTTTGTTACGTTGGTCCCAGCTCTCTGCAGGTCATTCACTAGGTCCCCCCGTATGGTCCTGGGATTTTTGCTCACCGTTCTTGTGATCATTTTGACCCCAGTGGGTGAGATCTTGCGTGGAGCCCCAGATCGAGGGAGATTATCAGTGGTCTTGTATGTCTTCCATTTTCTAATTATTGCTCCCACAGTTGATTTGTTCACACCAAGCTGCTTGCCTATTGCAGATTCAGTCTTTCCAGCCTGGTGCAGGTCTACAATTTTGTTTCTGGTGTCCTTTGACAGCTCTTTGGTCTTCACCATAGTGGAGTTTGGAGTGTGACTGTTTGAGGTTGTGGACAGGTGTCTTTTATACTGATAACAAGTTCAAACAGGTGCCATTGATACAGGTAATGAGTGCAGGACAGAGAAGCCTCTTAAAGAAGAAGGTACAGGTCTGTGAGAGCCAGAAATCTTGCTTGTTTGTAGGTGACCAAATACTTATTTTCCACCATAATTTGGAAATAAATTCTTTCCAGATCAGCCAATGTGATTGTCTGGATTTTTTTTCTCATTTTGTCTTTCATAGTTGAGGTCTACCTATGATGCCAATTACAGGCCTCTCTCATCTTTGTAAGTGGGAGAACTTGCACAATTGGTGGCTGACTAAATACTTTTTTGCCCCACTGTATATGTACTGTATGTGTTTTTTCTTTAAATCCTTTGATGTCAGGGAGAAGAAACATCCAGATTGCTGTTCTGTCTACAGTGTTCTGTGTGTTTGTAAACACAGCCGACCAGCAGGTATACACCCAAAATATTGGCTGCAACCTGCTGGCAAACTCATGTTGTGTCCAATCACAGCACGAGTCAGCAAAGAATGTACGCCCGAAAACTAGGCATTGCACTGCGATGTATGGGTACATCATGGTGCCTGGCTGAGCCACCCACTAGCAGTAAACGTAGTCTTAGCATTCAGCAATTGGTACAAATACCCATTCCATTGAAAATTGTAGGGCGGCACAGTGGCATGGGTCATGGGTTTAATTCCCGACCATGGCGCCTCCTGCATGGAGTTTGCATGTTCTCCCTGTGCTTGCGTGGGTTTCCTCCGGGTGCTCCGGTTTCCTCCCACACTCCAAAGACATGCTGGTAGGTAAATTGGCTCCTGTCTAAATTGTCCCTAGTATGTGTTTGTATGAATGTGAGTTAGGGACCTTCGATTGTACGCCCCTTGAGGGTTAGGGACTGATGTGAATGTTCAATATATATGTAAAGCGCTGCGCAAATTGATGGCGCTATATAAGTACCCGAAATAAATTGTCTGACAGTGGATTCCCCTTATTTTGGAGACATTTCCTCTCACTTCCTATGACAGGAAGTGAAAAAGAAAACCCTGAAAGAGGTTCTAATCCTTCCCTACTCTATTTAAAACAAAACATTTAAAAACCATGAACACAGGACACCACAGTTCAATTCTAAAGACCCCCAAAACATGGTAGTAGAGCTACAACCAACAGTAGACTGACGGGACATGTGCAGAGAGCACTCCCTTCATAATAGAGCACAATGTGCGTATTCCATATTTCTGTTGCCTGCAAATGAGGCTAAGCCAAGCCCTGCTACCATTTCTATTTGTGGTCTGTACAGTCCACCTCTCCATAGCTTCCTATGTACAGGCAGTGTGAAAAGGTTCTGTTAGCACAAATGCAAAAATAGTGTATTGTGAAACAAGGTGAACAAAGAAGGGTGAGCTGTACAGTTAGCAGATGTTGCTGAATCAATTTATACAGGCAAGGTAGGTGAATTGGTAGGTTACTTTAGATTTTCAAGTTTTACTGTTGTAAAGAAGAAAAAACAAAACCATATTCCAATTTGAAAGAACCTCGAAAAATATTGATTATGAATTGTTTTTAATATTTTAGCACAAAAGCATTATGAACTGTGAAGTAAATATATGAATATTATGTGCCAAACACAAGTTATATTTTTCAACATAATTTATATTTATAAAACAGACACACAGCAGACTGAATACATGTAAACCAAGCAGTATTACATTACAATGTCCCTGTGCTATAAAGATAAATACTGCACTAAAACCTAACTATAGTCCCATAGTCCCCATGCTGCTGTATGAAACATGTACAGAAGCCATCAACAGAAAGCTGTGGCAAAGTCCTGAGAGCTGCACAACACCCTAACCAGGACAACAAGCGACTCGCAGAGTCATCTTTATAGCCCTGGGATAGTAAATCACAGAACTATGTGAAAAGAGCGTATGATGCAGACAAGCTCTATATACAAACTGAAGAACGTATACAGCAAGTACTTACATTGCATAGCTGTCACACTTGTTCCATCAAGAGGATTCACTAACCCCGGATAATCTCTCCCAAATGACAGATGTTTGATATGATGCGTCATATTTATCTACAAAAAATAAAAAGGTCAATATATAGTGTTACATATATGGCCATTAATGGGATACAATAATAAAATGATAATATAAAAGTCACACTTACATTGTCAAGTCCAAAACTCTGCAAGTCGTGGACTGTAGAAGCAAACAGACAACACTGTTAATACACTAACATACAAAGGAAACGTTACAGACACTTGAATGAAAAGAGAATTCTTACACCATGACCTGTGTGTGGTTATAAACCTCCCAAACCCAATATTTGAGCTTTGCTTTAACCAATCATCAGATTCTTACATGTCTCAGGAACTCTGAAGGTAAGGTGAGTTCCCAGCTCCACCCACCAGAAGGGGTAATTACATGAGACTCCAGTATTTCCTGTAGAATATTTCTCACTCTAGTATCAGAGATTCAGAAAGGAAGGAAACCTAAACCTAGTTACAGGGATTAAAAGACTGCAAAGCAGAGGAAGATTCTCCCCAGCGCTGGACAACTCAAGAGTTACAAAAGCAAACTGGTAAATTTTGGCCAAAATGATTCACCCACAACTGAAAAATAGGCTGATACTTAAAGTGAACATGTTGCTTTGCTCAGCCTGGGCCAATCACAAGTGTGCTTTAAAATCTGGTATCCCAGCATCTTAAACTTGCCTTCCCTCACTTGCTGCTGGGATCAAAGAAAATACTCTTGGGTAAGAAGAAGCATGTGACTTACTCCATGGGCTGGGCTAGGTAATTGACCAAACACAGGCCCCCTCGGGAGCAGAGAAAGCTCTGTATAAGTTCTGACTGGAGATCCTAACAGAGCTTACACAGTCTGCTGACTGAAATGGTTTGGGAGCGAAGAAAGGAGAGTATAAGCTGCTAGGGAGGAGGGCTGTAAAGTAAACCTCTCCTTTGCATTGCCTAGGACAGTGTTCATCAACCTTTTTCCAGTCAAGGCACCCTTTAAAATTATGAACAATGTCAAGGCACCCCATTATAAAATGTAACAAACAAACCTAGTAGTTTTACATATTGCAGCAACATCTACAAACATAAGACACCCAACATTAGAGATGACTTAATATTTCAAAGCAAATACATTCGTGCACACTGGTATTGACTAGTATTCCAGCAATTCTTCCTCATTTTCTCTTCCCCATGCAGGTAACATGACCCCAATACTATTGAAGAGGGGTGGAGGGTCAAACAAGGATGTTATGCAGGCCAGAGTACTTGGTGTCATTCTGGACTCCAACCTATCCTTGCAGCCCCAAGTCCAATCTTTAACAAACTCGTGCAGACTCCACCTCCGCAACATCGCCAAAATCCACACGTTTCTAACCCCAGAAACCACTAAACAGCTCAACCACTCCCTCATCATATCACGACTCGACTACTGCAACTCCCTCCTCACTGGCCTGCCTCGCCGCTGGCTATCCCCGCTTCAGTCGATCCTGAATACGGCTGCCAGACTCATTCACTTTTCCAACCGCTCCATTCCGCCACCCCCCTCTGCCAATCCCTCCACTGGCTTCCGATTGCGTAACGGATCAAATTCAAAATCCTAACACTGACGTACAAAGCCGTCCACCATACTGCCCCGTATTACATCACTGACCTAATATCCAAGTACCACCCAGCATGCACACTCCGCTCCTCACAAGACCTCCTTCTCTCTAGTTCCCTGGTCTCCTCCTCCCATGCCCGCCTCCAGGACTTCTCCAGGGTGTCCCCCATCCTCTGGAACTCCCTGCCCCAACCCATCAGATTATCACCTACTCTCCTCTCCTTTGGGCGCACCCTGAAAACCCATCTCTTCAGGGAAGCCTACCCCACCCCCTGCTAACTTGCCAACCTCCTCCACTCTTCCTACCACTCCATCCCCCACAGCTATTTTCCTCCTGTGCCACCATCCCCTCCCTCCTAGATTGTAAGCTCAAAAGAGCAGGGCCCTCAATCCCCTCATGTTTTGCATTGTATTGGTATTGTTCTGTCACATGTTCTGTCCCCCTTTGTAATGTACAGCGCTGAGCAAACTATTGGCGCTTTATAAATACTGTATAATAATAATGCAGGTGCCAAATGTCGTTTTGCCAACCAGTGATGTCAGTGGTCGTTAGGAAACTTGTGGCTGTTTGTAACAAAAAAAAAAAAAAGCAGGCTTCATTCACCCACTGCCTTGTACACAATTTTTGGGCAATTTGAAGCAAATTTTAGACATTTCGTTAAGACACCCCTGAAGAACCCAGAAGACACCCTGGTTGAAAAAGGCTGGCCTAGGAAAATAACAGGTTCACTTGGAATATATTGCACTTTGTTTATTACACTGGCCTGAACCAATTCATGCAAGTGAGTGACCCTGAATGAATAATTCCATAATGAATAGTTCAAGTGTTTGTAGCCTGATAAAAAAATAAGTGCTTCTAATGCCAGAATGTTTTTACTTTCATGCATTCTATGCATGAAGGTAAATAACCTTCAGTGTGCAGCAGTGCCCCCCCCTAATACTTACCTGAGCCCCATCCTGATTCAACGCTGTGCAAGAGATCCTTGGTTCTCCTGGGTCCCACTCCTCAATGACTGAGACACAGCAGTGGGAGCCATTGGCTGTCAATCACAGCCAGAAAGAGGGAGTGGGGGGCAAGGCCAAAGTCGCACTATTTGTCTAAGGCTACGTTCACACTAGCTGTCAGCAGGCCTCAGGGAAGTGTTTTTTAACGCTTCTCAAACACCTCTAAAAATTCTGCACATGGCAGCACACAGTGCTGTTCACACGGAAGCATTAGCATCGTGGCAAAACTGACACCTCTGGTCCAGTCAGGAGGAGCTGAAGCCTCCCATTCACGTCTATGGTGCCGCTTTGCAAACGATTGGCCGGCGTTTGCGGAGCGTCAATACCATTTAAACTTCATTATAGGAGTTTGTGGTGCGGTTTTAACACTTGGCAAACACCTATCAACAGCCTCAAAACCACGCAGGGGGCATTTGCGGAGCGTTAAAAACGCTTCACAAACACCTGTCTAACGCTTGTCAAACACTATAGAGGCGTTTGGCAAGAGTTAGAAATAAATTCAAGTGTGAACGAGCCTTTATGGACATACTGGACCAGCTCTGGAGCGAGCATGCATGAAAGCGCCCAAAGCAAGCAGCATGCTCTGGGGGCACTCGGCAGGTGAGAGGGATCGAGAAGAGGAGAATCGAGCCTGCTCTGTGCAAAAATCACTGCCAAGAGCAGGTAAGTATGACGTTTGCTATTTTAATTTAAAAAAAAAAAAAGAAAAAAAATAAACAAAGCCTTACCACTTTAAGGCTGTGTTCACACTTGTGCAGTGCAGTGTGCAAATGCGAATTGTGTGCGGTGTGATTGGAGTCATACATTTTGTACGGCTCAAATCGCCCCGCATCCACACCAAAAAAGGTGCAGGACCCTTTTTTTGGTCCGCACTAGAATCAGATCGCATAGGTAATCACACCCAAGCGATCCGACTGTGCACATCGCACCGCGTTTTGAAGACCGATTTCAGAGTGTTAACATACACACCAGTAGTGGTTCGCATGAACGGGGTGCGATTCTGATGCGGTGCGAAATTTGCACAGAAACCGGTGCGAATTCCGCACCGCATCAGTGTGAACCCGGGGCTCACTGTGCTGCCTTACAGTTTCATAAATTTAAAACATCAGCAATACAATAAATGGACAAAGCAGAACAAGACCAAAATAGCACAGGGAGAGAAGGCTAGATAGATCCGATCTGTAACAACTTTGGATGAGCAGGTGCTGTGAAGTATGAGGGTTTTCCAATGTCCACATTCCATCTGGCTACAACACAACGTGACATAAAATCATCCCTTTCCTCTGAGACGTTGTGTTCTACACTGCACTCTCTTTACCAGCATAGAATGACAGGCAGTGTAGGCTTGGATCTGCCAGGTGTCTGTTTACTTTTCCCAAGAGTCAATATTTAACAACTTCTTCTGCAGTCTAGTCTGCAGAGCTATGTGATGTATTTTCAACACACAGCCTTGCGTGAGGGTATGAGGCTGAATTTAAAGCAGCTTTAGAGGAAAACATTAATACAGAACATCATTACGAGTCATGAATACATCATTAAAATGGAACTCTGGGTAAAAGAGAACATATATGATGCAGACTGTCAACACTCCTTGTCCTAGGACAGTGGTACTCAACCTTCCTAATGCCGCGACCCTTTAATACAGTTCCTCATGTTGTGGTGACCCCCAACCATAAAATTATTTACCCAGTAATTATAATTCATGAGAGTCGTTTTACCTCCAATACTGCTGCTTTCAGCACAGTAGCTGCTTTCAGCACAGTAGCTGCTCTTTACACATCGGAAATATGTGTTTTCCAATGCTCTTAGGCGACCCCTGTGAAAGGGTCGCGACCCCCAAAGGGGTCGTGACCCACAGGTTGAGAACCACTGTCCTAGGATGACAACACTGCTCAGTTCAGTTGTCACCCTACAACAGGAAGTGTGTTAATGGCAGGATTAATGCATTAAAATAAAGGGGGAAAAAAGTGTGAAAAAACTATTTCAGCCACAAAAGTTAAGGACTAGTAAGCTTCAATGCCATCAGTTTTTGTTCCTGGGTTTGGAAAGGTTGAACTTTCTCAGCAGCGCATTTTAACAAGAATTCCACAAAGTGATAACTGCGTCTAGACTTTTGTTTTTTTTTTTTTTATAAAAGAATGCTGATGGATTCTCAGATAATAATTTATCTGATCAAATATGAAACAAAATCTGACTTTTTATGTGGCCGGCTTTACTGTGGTGTCCTTTCGCCTCTAACAGTCACGCCTGTGGAATATTTGGGAATACGAAGAGATACTTCTCAGAATGTCAATGGTGAAAAGGATAGACACAGCACTAACTCCCACCGATCTAAAAACAAACTACTCTACATCCATTAAAAGCAACAAAGGATATAACCCACTTTGTGTGCACCACATCTTCTCCTTTGTAAATCTAGATATTACCTTGAAAAAGTAGCAGTGACATCATCACTATGCTGCACATAACCTGTACAGAGAGCAGAGCTGTGGAGGGACCCAGCAGGTCCTCCTGTTACAAGCTGCCTGCAGAAAATTACAGAGGTAGGGAGGCACAATACCAGTCACTGCTGCAGTGTT